ATTAATGGTCTCAATTCACCAATCAAAAGAAACAGACTGGCAGAATGGATCAAGAAACAAGATCCAATAATTTGCTGTATACAGGAAATACATTTAACTCAAAAAGAAATTCATAGACTGGAAGTCAAAGGATGGAAAAACAATATTCCATGTGACAGCAAGCTGGAAAAAGCAGGGGTAGCTTTAGTATTTGCAGACAAAGTAGATTTCAAACCAAGACTGATGAAGACAGACACAGATGGTCACTACATCCTTGTAAAGAGAACAATCCAAGGGGAAGAGATAACAATCATAAATATATATGCACCAAATAGCAGTGTACCTAACTACGTAAAACAAATATTAACAGACTTGAAAATCAAATAAGAACTAATACAATTGTAATGAGGAACTCCAATACCCCACTGTCACAAAGAGACAGATCAACTAGATAAAAAAATCAACAAAGAAGTATCAGAACCGAGGCAAACCTGTAAACAAATGGACCTAGTGGTTGTCTACAGAGTGTTCCATCCCACAACATCAAAATACACATTCTTCTCAGCTGCACATAGATGTTCTCCAAAATAGACCATATACTAGCCCATAGAGCATACTTAAGTAAATGCAAAGGAATTGAAATCATCCCATGCATATTATCTGACCATAGTGGAATGAAATTGGAAATCAATGGCAAACAAAACCACAAAAACTGCAGAAACACATGAAAAGTAAATAACACCCTCCTGAACAACCAATGGTTCACAGATAAAATTAAAGAAGAAAATAAGCAGTATATGCAATTAAATGATAATGCTGATACAACATATGAAACCTATGTGACGCAATGAAAGCAGTCCTAAGAGGAAAATTTATAGCAGTAAATCCTCATATCAGGAAAAAAGAATGAGCTCAAATAAGCAACCTAATGTTGAACCTCAAACGTCTAGAAAAAGAAGAACAACTCAAGCCCAACACTTGTACAAGGGAGGAAATTATAAAGATCAGAGTAGAAATTAACGCAATTGAGACTAAGAAAACAATACAAAGAAGCAATGAATCAGAGCGTTGGTTCTTTGAAAGATTAAATAAAATTGATAAACCTTTAGATTAGTGTATATTAGATTTTAAAAGAGGTTTTTGTTTTCTGGGGGTTTTTTTGATCAGAGGAAATACAGCACTAAAAGGAAATGGGACTCATGAAATACTAGTGGGCCTAAAAATAAAAGTGGTTATATAATTATGAATATTATTAACAAAGAGGAAATGCTCCAAGAAATCACAGTAACTGCTTAGAATGTCTTCCATAAGCTCATTTTTTTGCAGCATGTCAATGAAAAATATAGGATGGCTACCTTTCTGAAGACTCAGGAGAGGAAGAGAAAAATGGAAGAGGGACAATAAAACCATGCAAAAAGAACCAGAAAGGTCTTGCACAGGACAGAAGTGAACTGAACCTGA